ATGTATGCATGTATGTATATGTCTATACATACATACATACATACAGTATATACAGATAGAGAGAGAGAGAGAGAGGCTTCGGGGTTATGGTACAGTATATCGGCACCCGGGCTCCCAAGATCATCTCGAGTTCAGGGCTTCAGGTGCTAGAGGTTTTTGGTTTTGGGGTTTGGGGATCGAGCGTGGGGGTTCACCCGCTGGCGGCGAAGGCCCAGTGCGAAATAGATCAGAGGCCGTCATAGGCTGTGGGCGCCCGGTTTCAACGACCCAGACTCAGAACCCTAAACCCCTAAACCCTAAAGTCGTGGATCCTCAGGTCGTTTTGTCGCTGAGCTTGGTTTGGGCGGGACGTCCGCGAGCAATGCTCGCCAATCTGTCAACCAGTCTTTACCCTGTACGATACAGATGGACAGTTTTGGGTCGATACGTGGGTTCCTGATCCTGCTGCTTTGGGTTTATACTAGGACCTAGGATCCAATAGATCCCGACACTTTTATATCTGGAAAGGCCGCTTCTACTTCGAATGCCGTACAATGCGGAAGAAGGCCAGCAACGTCGGGAGCAAGATCTGCTTCTTTGCAAGCAAGTTTCCGGAGTTTCAGGGGGCTTTAGGGAGGGGTTTGGTTTGGAATTGTTGAGATCTGCAGGTCGGGGTTGACTACATGTTATTGTGTGTTAACCACATCTCATACAACTCGCGTCAACTTAGTTCAAAGATTTAAACCTGGTCTAGTCAGCAAGCCCCGACACAGGACAGTGTGAAGAATCAGACTGGCAGCTAAACCCGAACCCCCGGAACTCCAACCCACACGTGGCCCTACATATGTCTTTGGAGTTGCCAAGCCCCCCCAAAACCCAGCTGCTTCTGGCGTCGCACAGGCTATAAAATTGATCTGTTTTAGGGGGCGGCCGGAGATCTCGAGAGGATGAGGATGCAAGCCTCGCTTAGGCAACCACAGCTCCGAAGATTGCCCAAAGCACCGTTAATAGTTAAGGGTTAGGGTTTAGGGGTTTACAGGGTGAAGGGGTTGTTTTGGGGTTAACTCGTAGTTTTCGAGCTTTCGGCCAGGCGGCTCCCTGATGCCCCTTGCGCGCCTCGCCCTGCTTCCCTCCGCAGATGCTGCGCCTGGGCAAAACGAGGGCGGACTCCGTTGGGCCCGGTTGTTTGTTTGCATGTGTTGTCGTTTCAGGGTAGGGAGACCGGGCGACCTTGTTCATTGTTCGTTTGGAAGCACCTCTAGTGGAGAAGCATGGTCGTGCCTGACAGGTACATTTTCAAGCAAGGGTTCCGCCTTGAACTTGACTTTGCAGAGACAGAGGCTGAAGACAAGCATCAAACAGCAGCGACGGACTCCGCAGGACACCTTCAGAAACACAATCTGAGCCTTCCCAAAGGGGAGTTGTGCGGGTAAACACACAGACAGACAGGCACTGAAAACATGAAGGTAAGCGACTAGTCCCTCTCTTTTAGAATTTTTTGCTCTGTCGCTGGACTTTTTTTGCTTTTGTTTACACGTCTTCGGACTCTTCGACCCCTGGCCCAGTTTCTATAAGAGGGTGGGTGCTTGTGCTGCAGAAGGACAACACCGCACAAGCCTCTAGAATAAGAGCGATCGCTCAGACAAAAGCTGTTATTACAAAGCCCGCTTCCTGCCCCACTTACATCCCGGACCTTGGCCCAAAAGTCCATTGTTTCAAACCCCAAACCCACACTGAACTTTGGACGCTGTTAAAGGTCTAGTAGCCTATACAGTAAGCCTTATTCAAGTAACCCTTCGAGAAATACGATCGATGATATAAATCCTACATGACCCATATTAAGGAATATACAAGGTCTGGAGTCAGGGGGCTTCCTGCTGGAATGGCCGACTGCCTGACGCTGCAATGGAGGTGGAGCCGAGGAAGTTAAGAAGCTTGAGGCCCTGCAATAATATACAGGCCCGGGAAATTTCCAATATTCTAGTCTAACAACCATTACATGCTTCTACATTAGGGCGTATGGGTTGGAGCTCGGGCTCGTGATGTTCGGCTTAGAGTTTTAGGGTTCGAGTGTGAGGACATAAGGACATGTCCTAGACTCCTGGTCAAGCCCTGCCTCGGGCAAGAAAAATTTTGGAGGCTCGGGGCCTCAAAAATTAGCAAGATCCCTTGTGATGCATCATTCCGTTCTTCGCCCCTAATAAGCCCTAATATACCTATATACAGTCCGTATGGTCAGACTGCATGCTCGATCATTGGCAGATTGCAACAGGCTCAAGCAGAGGAGTTGGCGCGACGGTGGCTGACCGAGGCACAAGAACCCTCACTGAACCCGAAACCCTAAACCGCTTCGAATGTTTTCGCTCCGGATGACATGTTCCACGTTTCTGCGATCCTGAGCTTGCAGTCTAGCATGCAGGATCTGGTCAGCTGTCTGGTAAGAGGACCATACGTCTTATACCCGTCCACCAGAGCTTAGAGAGTCAAATGGTAGCATTACGCATGAGTTCGACTCCTGATAGACAATGACAATATAAGTTATACGGCCTTTAAGCCCTTATAATTTTTAAGCTGTGATATATATATATATATATGACACAGAGAGGGGGATCTCTCCAGAGATGTATGTACGTATGTATGCATGTATGTATCCATGTACTTATGTATCTATGTTTGTATGTATATATATATATATTTGAATAAATAAATAAATAAAAATATATATATATATATATGATTATATATGTATGTATGTATGTATATATATATATGCACACCGGCCCAGCTCGAGTAGCAGGCCGAAGCCTCCCTGACCGCTGCGCGCGATGAGCTTAGCGCTCTCCCGTCAGAGCTCCGCGGAGCACACCCGGAGCCTTGAATTTAGGGGTTAGGGGTTTGGGGGTTTAGGGTTTTTAGGGTTTAGGGGTTCAGGGTTTAGGGAAGAGAGAGGTCTGAGGGTTTTACCTATTACCTAGTATCTCCTTGTATTTACCGTATGTTAATAATGACCCCCAAAGACCCATCCCAAATTTGAAGGCCCTGCAGCGAGGGTGTCTCGAGTCTGAGGGCGTCGGATTCTGCGGCTGGAAGGTTTCAGGGTTTAAGGTTCTTGGGTTGGCTGTGGGGATTTCTGGAATTGAGGGGTTGGGGGTTCAGGGTGTAGCGCTTACGTCGGCTTGAGTGGGCGGGTTTGTATGTTGCTTGACGTTAGGATCTTAGGGCCTAAAGTGTAAGAATTTTGGATTGAGGTTATGGGCAATGGGGCTCTGCAGCTTGCAGAGTTGAGGACTTTCGGGTGAGGCTTCGAGTCGAAGTTTCAATCGGGGAATTCGAGGTTTAGGGGTTACCTGTCAGAATGACCGTACTCTAGTTTAGCAGAGTGACGTTTCCCTTGACATACGCGCACAAGGATTGCGGCATTGGTTTCAAGGCTGGGGCGGCCATGCAGATTTGCCACACTTTTCGGATCGAACGGCTTCGGGATTTTTGCACAACAGGTTTCAGCTCAGAGTTTCCTGGGCAGTGATCTGCAGAGGACCGTGAGTCACTCGCTGGTTGATACCCTGCCCATGGCTGCTTCAGTTGATAGCTAAATGCCTTAAGCCGTAAACCCTTAAACCCCAAGACCGTAACCGCCATGCCTGCTTTGCGAGTGTGTGAGTCGAAACCCCATTGTACCCTGCAGTGCGGGTTCGTCCTACCAAGGTGGGAGGCAAACCCTAAACCCCTTAAGCCCCAAAGAGCCCCAAACCCTATAGACCGAGCCTCGCCCAGGCAAGTCCGAAGGTGAGCGCTGAATCCCCTATAAACCCCGAACCCCTATTCAGCCACGGCCCTGGCGATTGAGGAAATCTTCACTGCGGTGGACCACGTGCTGAGGGTCGAGTTTGATCTTCTGAAATACTCTCAGGGACTTTTTGAAGAGTCCGTGTCGCATGCAAAGGTGGAAGCCTAGTTTAGAGATGTCTCGACGGCTGTTTTATATAAGAGTTTCCCGGTCGTGCGCTGACATCGGTTTCGCACCATCGAATTGCACGTATTAACTGACTGTACTTAGTATAGCTTATCTGTTGTTAACGTTGGTGCTAGTGGTGATGGTGTTTATACTGCGGTGGTGATGTTCCTGTGGCTTCGTTTTGCTGCTGTCGCTCCACGTGCACTCTAGTGACTAGTCAAAGTTTTGTGGAAGACAGAGCGGGCTCGCATCTAGTACCTGGGGTTGGGGGGTCGGATAGGCGAGGGTCTAGCTTGCGGCTGTGGATCTCATGGGTTTAGAGGTTTCCCTGTGAGGGTATGCCTTAATTGTCGGCTGTGCCGAGTCGACACTTCTTGCGTCTGTGTGTAGATAAATAAGCACCTAGGGTAGCTAGGTACGTCTGGGATGTAAAGCAGGTAATGTGACGTACTGTAATGTAAGGAAATTCAAAGACATGTAGTGTCATATGCATTGCAATACTGTCATGTAGTGTCGTGTCGTGTAGTGCAATGCAATGTACTTGTTTGTGCGTGCATGGATGGATGCATGGATGTGGATGGATGGATGGATGTATGGATGGATGGATGGAGAGATGGATAGATGGATGGAAGGGTGGATGGTTGGAGGGATGGAGAGATGGAGAGATGGAGAGATGGATAGATGGATGGAAGTGTGGATGGTTGGGTTGAAGGATAGATGGATGGAGGTGCGTACGTACTAGGCAGTACGTACGTAGGTAGGTAGGCAGATAGGTAGGCAGGTAGGTAGGTTGGTACGTAGGCAGGCAGGCGGCAGGCAGGCAGGCAGGCAGGCAGGTAGGTAGGTAGCATTAGGTAGTTATGTATTCACATATACAGGTTTACACATATTGTAAGTACGAACGTATGCATTTATGTATACATGTATACATGTATGCATGTATGCATGTATGGTATGGTACGGTATGGCATGGTATGTTATGCTATGCTATGTGTGTATGCATGCATGCATGCATGTATGTATGTATGTGACAGTATGTATGTATGTATGTATGTATGTGACAGTATGTATGTCTGTCTGTCTGTCTGTATGTATGTATGTATGTATGTATGTATGTGACAGTATGTATGTATGTATGTATGTATGTATGTATGTATGTGACAGTATGTATGTATGTATGTATGTCTGTATGT